CCATTGTAGACCACGCATAAGATTGGATTCGCTACTGGCCTTACGGTCTCTATCGTGATTGGCCAATTCGCTTACTGATTATGTCTTAGGGTGAAATCACACGGTGCGGAAAAAGACTGCGGAATAGAGAATGCGTCATCGAAGCAACCAATCAACGCTATTCGAAATCAACGTTATTCGAAATAGCGCTGATTGGTTGCTTCAATGACGCATTCTCTATTCCGCAGTCTTTTTCCGCACCGTGTGATTTCACCCTTACGGCCTTACGTTTTTGTATGTGCCATAGGCGAAAGCCCATGGCACATATAAAAACGTAAGGCCGTAAGACGTAAGCAGTAAGGAAATCGTAAGATTGGATTCGCTACTGACCTTACGGTCTCTACCGTGATTGGCCAATTCCCTTACTGATTACGTCTTACGGCCTTACATTTTTGTATGTGCCATGGGCTTTAACATGTTGAATTCGCTACTGCTTATGTTACGGCCTTATGGACTCTACTGTGATTGGTCAATTCTCTTACTGCTTACATTTTACTACTTAAGTTTTTTTGTGTGCCATGGCCCTTAGAAACCCCTTAATATAAGGTTGACTAGTATCGCACAATACGCGTGAAGTTGGCTGTACATATCACTTGTGTTAAATGTGTATTTCTGAAATTATTTTATTCATTTGCAAATAAAACTTTGGCATTGTTAAATTGTTATGCGCATAACAATACTTTAAGGTTTACTTCTGAATTGGCAGAATTGTGTATTTAATATTGTTGGTTTTGAAAAATGCGCCAGCTGCCAGGAGCCAACATGGCTGGTGCACATTCCCACCTAATATAGTACCTTATGCTGGATTCACACTGCATCCGATTTTCGTCGTACAACGCTCTGCATCCAATCAGAAAACAGGATTCCGATAATACGAAGCAAAATTCATCGGAATCCTGTTTTCTGATTGGTTGCAGAGCGACCCCCCAAAAACTTCAAGCGAGTTTTCAGGTCCAATGAATACTGTCGGCATTAAAAAAAAAGAAGGGAAAAAAATTAAATTTAAATTGAACGTAATGTATTACAACATTTATTACAACGTTAATACATTATATCTTATATCTTATACTGTAAGCGTTTTTAAACGCGAGATCGTAATTTTGATTGTGATTGGTCGATTTACTTGCGATTACAACTAAAATTTTTGTATGTGTGAAGCCCATTCTACATTAAGCTGGTTCTACATTAGTCGCATCTCAATGTTCGCAAGCGTTGCAGTCCAATCAGAGTCGAGCTAGCTTGACGTTGATTGGACCGCAGCGCTTGCGACGCTGCGATGCGATTAATGTAGAACCAGCTTAATGTAGAATGGGCTTGATGGTCTTACGATTACGACTGAAATTTTTGTACGTGTGATGGCCTTTACTGTATTGAATTTTGGAACAGGCTTTACAGTGCTGCCAGTACTGGCAGTGAGTTACGGAACGCAGCTCTAAAGCTGGTTCTACATTAGTCGCATCGCAGCGTCGCAAGCGTTGCGGTCCAATCAACGTCAAGCTAGATCGACTCTGATTGGACTGCAACGCTTGCGACACGATTGCAACGCTGCGATCCGATCAATGTAGAACCAGCTTAATATACCACCTTCGGAACTCTAGGCGCGAACTTCACGTTGCAATAGCGCCTCGACGTGGCTCTGGGCCAAACTAAATGGAAGGGTAGTCGATAACTGTAGTTCCCTTAGGCCGGAATCAGACTACGCATTGAAGATTGAGATCGAAGATTGAAGATTGAAATTTGACTAATGAGGGCAAAGGAATTTTAGCTCCTATTGTTTTGATTGGTCAAATTTCAATCTTTCAATCTTCAATCTCAATCTTCAATGCCTAGTCTGATTCCGGCCTTACACAGGAAAGTGCAATTCGGAGAACCGAAGGCTGCGTTCCAAAATCCAAATTTACTGCCAGCACTGAAAATGCTACAGTTCACGTTACGTGCACTATATATTTTCAGTACTGGCAGTCAATTTTGGAACACAGCCTTTGGAACGTAGCCGAAGTAAATCGAAGGAAAAAATGACACGATCACGTAGATTTAAGCGGAAGCGATTTGCGAGGGTCATGACGGCTAGCACCGATCTTGTTTGTTCAGTGATAAGCGATTTCACGACAAATAGATTACCTACGTCAGCCGCGACGCAAATGAAACGGAAACGCAACAATCGTAGCGCGATCGCCGCGCGATCGCCGCGCGATAACTGCATATCACTCTCGTTCGACGATAACGATGACCTTCCGCGACCTCGTAGATCTTGCTCATCATTCTCGTCATTTTGTGCTTCGTTAACTGGACGCAGGTGGAATTTCATCAATGAGCGAGTATTCATGATTGACAACTCGTCTATCTTCCGTCTAGACGTCCCTCGGTAGACCTTGTAGATGTGGAACAATGTGTATCTGCTCGTTTTGATTGCGATCGCCACCAGAAGTTGAACTCCAGATTTCCTGTAGGTGCGAAAAAATGATCAGTCTCACGCTAAAAATTAATCTTTTGCAATCGTATGTTTGTTCTTAGACGTCGAGACTAAAAAAACCTCTTAAGTGTTTTATTTACTTTTAGAAGATTACTTAATTATAAGAGGCACACAGAAAAATTTGTAACACAAAATCTTGCAGAACTTAAAAGTTGCACTTATTTCTTATATTTTACATAAAAAGAAGTTGTTCTTCTTTGTACGGTTTGTCTGTTCTCTTTTCTTTTCCAACGTTGAGAAAAAAAAGATTCAGCTAAAAACAACAAACTTAAGAACAGGTTACTTAATTTATTACAAGATAGTCGATATGTAAAAACTAATTCTAAATAATTTTTTTACTAATATACATAAATATTAATATGTATTAAATTTACATTAGTTATATCCTTATGAAATAGATGTATATAAAAATAATAAAGTTTAAAATTTATTCTCAACATCTCTCAACACTTTTTATTCTCTTTTTTTAGAACATGGTTTTAAAGAAAATTACCTGAAGTACTATGACCACTTAATCTAATCACTCAGAGGTTATAAAACACTATAAAGAATTTATTGCGAAAAATATCTCTGCCAGGTGTTTTAAAGATGCTCAGTAATTAGCATCAGTATTATTAAATTGCTGGTCAATTTAATTTGTAACTTTATATACTCCAGTTTCAGTTTAGGACTGTTTCGATTATGTATCTTGAAATGTGGTAAAAATTACAAAAGTAAACAATTCTCTAAAATATTGATCATTTTATTGGTCAGCATCTGTGAATTTGCTAACTTTTGTAATTTTCACCTTGTTTCAAGATGAACTTATAAGATTAACCCCTTGACCTTTAGAAGACAAATATTCATGATTAAATAATAATGCAATAAAGACTGCTCTTTCACAGTCATCATTGGAGCTTCCCAAATATTCTGACTATACATGTTGGTTTATCTGTTATTCTGATACCGTTTTATCAGCTTTAATATTTTTATCATGTTTGAACATATTACTGAAAAAGATCACTCTTTTTCTGTAATTTTGATGAAATTAATTCACAAATAAATTGCATGAAAAATTAATTCCTTCAAAGATAATTCTTGATAAAACGAGTGTTCTTGTGGATGTATTTAGCAATTTTAATTTTCTCTTTTTGACTCATTCAGAATGCACTTTTGAGAGAAATGTATCTCATAGAAAAATGCATTAAAACGTTAATTTTGTCTCATAATTTGAAGACAACTATTCCAATTGAAGATGTAGATGTATCCAAATAGCATTTACAAGAATCTTTTTCACATAATCACTACTTCTGTTATTCTATATTTTCATAATTTTGTGACCTTTTAAAGCTATATTTTTTCTCAATATCTTGCAAAGACTGCAAATATTAATTAATTCTATGATTTGCAGACACAGACGAATTCAGTGGAAAGAAACGTACTCGATCATCTCAGATATCCCCATAAATACCAAAAAATTCCAGGAGGAGTGAGTCAGACTGTTTTTGCGTGGAAAAATAAAAACACAAGGTTGTCTGAGGGGTGACCTACGTTGGCATAAAGTACATCTCACGTTTTCGAATGAAGTCACGTTTAAATCACGTTTCGTCGGCTGATAAGCCTGGAAACTTTATCTGGCACGAGCATGCCCCGATATGCAGGGTCATCCCATTGACCTCGACAGTGGAGAAACAAAGATAAACGGGGATGTAAGTATAGCCGGTGCACGTTTCAAACGTGATTCAGTATCGCGCCAGCATTACAAAGAGGCCTTACAGAAAGGAAAATTTTTCCACCTTTCAAATAAACAATCGCGTTTGTCATTGATTATGAAGCAAGTAAAAATTGATCAAATTTAATAGCCGAGTATGAATGTCGATTAATAGATTACATCGATTAATAGATTAGATCTGACTGAAAAATTTTGAGTGTTTTTTTTTATATTTTGATCATAATTTTATGAATATTTTAATATACTTATATATCTTTTGGATCGTGAAATTTGATTGTAGGAAATATTCGGCAGTGAATATAAATTTCCAAATTATACAATTATGGAAGCTCTGGGAAGCGTAAGTATCTCAAAATAATTTTTATTGAAAATTAATTTATAAGCTTAATTAATTTAGAAGCTTTACGCTTCTGCTTAGAATTGACTCGTAAAATATCTTGAATTTATTTCACATACATATTTAAAAAACATTTTCTACATAGATAAAAAATATTTGCACACTTCCTTTTGAGACATCTTGACATGAAAACAAGTACTGTTATTACGAAACATTTTTACACAATATGCCAGATAGAATGATAGAATGATATCGTAGAACGTCATCATGAACTTATTTGTCACTTATAAGTTCTTACTTAAGTTCTTATGATTTCCGTGTTCTACATAGGATACTATTATAAATGAAAAAAAAAATTATATTTAGAAGTGCTTTAGAATCTTCTTTTATATAAAATTTCTTCTTTTATATAAATTATCTTACAAGAAAGATAAACTATGCAAGTACTTTTTTATATCTCTGTACATCTTCAAGCAAATATGTCTTATATCTTAAGATTTTTATAATGACGGAATTAAGGAAAGTTCTATCGTTGCATGACAACGCTTCTCAGAAATTACTATTATCCTCTTCTATTCGTAGAATTAGAACATAATTTTATAACGTTCGTAGAAATAATTTACTGAAAAGAGCATTTAAAAATTATTAATAAAGAGATAAATCAACTCACAAACCTTCCGCGAAGGAGTTGACAAACAAGAGCAACAAGGCAACCAATAAATCATCAGACGATTTATTAATAAATTATATCGTTCGATATGCGTGTGATGACAAAGTTACGTCAAGAGAAGTTCAGTCTGACGAAACTGTTTTCGCCTCCACTTATTAGCAAAAAGTAGAAAACAAATGGATCCCCTGTGGCGCGAGATGTTGACATCATCAAGTATTAATATAAAAATCACGCGATCCTATTACAAAAACTCGTGTGCAAAATTAATGTCCCCTCGTGAAAAAAATAGCTGTTTGCCACGCGACGATAACCTTAGGTCACTCTTTATAACGATAAGTATTGATATTGTGCACTCGGCCGAGATCTTTCGCCGCACGTGAGCGAACTCGTGCGACGAGAGATATAATAATTTATAATAATCGCAATGATTGAGCTTCGCCCTGAAGTCCAATAGACTAGTCTGCACGTGTTTGCAATTTTCAATCAAGTTGCCGACTTGTTTTTGCTAGGAAGAAATTAAGATATGAGTTAAAGAATCTATCATTGAAGATAAACCATTAAACAGAGATTGTGATCCTTGAGAAATTTAATATTGTAAGAGTATTAAATTGGTTAGTGATTAACTACTTATTTTGAGTATCAAAAGCACTCTTGTTACTTACAGTAGTACATTTTTCTAGGGAAAGTTGTAAAATAATTTGTACTTTCCTATGGACAATAAATTCGAATTTTTTCTCATTGTTTTTCTATGTTTGCAGTACCCGATTTTGAAGTCTTTTTTGGCGGGTTCGTTCTCCGGAACATTCTCTACGATCCTCTTCCAACCGCTGGATTTGGTGAAGACCAGACTTCAGAGCAGAATTAATGCCCCTGTCGGGTAAGATTAATTCATCGCTGTAAACAAAATCGGCAATTACACTCTTTTATTTTAAATATGTAATCAGAATTTGTTCTCTTTTTGCTCAAAGTTTTTAAGATTTAATTTATAATATGATGTTTCTTGATATTTAATTTCTTAAAATTTTTTTAAATTACATCTTTTACTTAATTTAAATTTGATTTTTTGACGTAACTAATTTTATTAATTAAAAATTTAATTCTTTCTGATTTTTACAAGAATTTAAATTTAAAACTTGTTATCTTAAGCTTATATTTTTCAAATAATTACTAACTTTCCGAATTTCTTAATAGATCGCCAAAAAATGGAATGTTGGGCACGGTGGCACACATCGTTCAGAAAGAGAATATCTTCGGACTCTGGAAGGGCATGACACCGGTAAGATATCGTTCTGAAGATTAATATAAATTGAATGTTATTCCCACTAATATAACGACATAATGAATGTCAATTGTAGTCGATAACCAGAGTGATTCCTGGTGTGGGTTTGTACTTTTCGTCGCTACAGTGGCTGAAACACACCTTCAATTTGGAAGAACCCCTCACGGCTCTGCAGGCTATTTCTTTGGGCATTACCGCACGGTCCATGTCCGGCGCCTTGCTAATTCCTATCACCGTCGTGAAGACTCGATTTGAGGTACGTTCAGAAAATAATAATAGTAGAATGTAGAGAGCATTAAAAAACATGGCATTTTTTAATTGCAAAGGAAAGAATGCTGAGAAAATGATAGGAAAAAAAGAAAAAGAAAATTCTAAAACTAAGAAAAGTTTTTTCCTATAGTTTTGAAGGATCGGAAAAAAACCCAATTTTTCCGCGAATTTTTTAGATTTTTTTCCCCAAGGGTAGAAAAATTCACGCGTGCTCGTAAAACCTACCACGTTTGCTTCTCGGTTCTTTCCGTAAAAAAAATAATTGCGTACAAGATACACAGCGGGATAAATTAACAGAAATTTTGAAATTGTATAAAAGATTGAGGTCGCATAATGTATTCAATAAAACATACAAAACATACACTATTGCACCATTAATGTAAGAATTAAAAATATAGAGTCCAAACATCATGTTTATATGATGATAATAGTAGATCTAGAAAATAATTTGGATTTAAACTGAATTCGTAACAAAATATCTGAAAAAAGATAAACTACAAAGAGACACTTCAGGAGTTCATTAGATCAGAATGTGATAAACTAGAGTTAAAACTCTTGTCTACTTAAGCTTTGCCATGTACTAAAGGAAGGTTAGATTAGGTTTTCTATAAAAATAGAAAAATAACTAAAAAATTTTAATAAAAATAATGCTATAATTTCATAGATCGTATTAATTTTATAAAGGAATTTAGAAGTTACTTATTATGTCTTTTACATAACAAAAACAGTAATTTTTCCAAAAAACCGAAATTTTTCCGGTTTTTTCCAGCAATTTGAAAAAAGCGGCTTTTTTAAAACTATATTTTTTTCCTAAACGTTATTAATATATATTTTTGTAATAGCATGACAATATCTAAAAATATTTTATAAGTTTCGACCATAGGAGGATTCGACGATTATATTCTCTGATTTTTTCACAATAAAATTCAAGCCGATTATATAAGTATAATCTGTATTCTGCAGAGTGGTGTTTACAAATACAATAGTATCAGCGAGGCTCTTACGTTGATCTACAAGCAAGAGGGAGTAAGAGGTTTATCAAGTGGCTTGGTTCCTACTCTTCTGCGAGATGCACCTTACAGTGGTTTATATCTCATGTTTTACACCCAATTAAAAAATGTGGCTGCCAGTACAGGTATTCCTCAAAGCGATGTTAAAAAATATTTTACTTAAAAATTATGAAGTTATTTATGACTTAGTATTATAACTTGTCGATATCTCTATAATTTTAAATTTAAAAAATCAGATTATATTAAGCATGCATCGGTATCTTGTTGGACAATAACAAATTCTTCTGTTTGCAGGAGCGACAAACAATTCGTCGATACCGGTACACTTTAGCTGCGGAATCTTAGCTGGAATTTTAGCGTCGATAGTGACGCAACCGCCGGATGTTGTCAAAACGAAGATGCAGTTGTATCCGAATGAATTCCATGGCATTTGTCACGCGACATTCTTCGTTTACAAAAAGTATGGCGTTTTAGGATATTTCAAGGGTATCATTCCTAGAATGCTGAGGCGGACTTTAATGACCACTATGGCTTGGACAGTGTATGAACAGGTAAGTCGATCTATTGTCAAATAAAGATTTAGCTACGATCACACGAAAAAATTCAATTTCCAAATCTTGTAGAAATTATTACTACTGTTATTAAATATTAAAATTTCATATAAGAATTATGTATTTATTTAGCAAATATATTTTACATAAAAAATTATAATTATGAAGCTAATTAAATTAACAATGTATATTTTATTGTATTATCCAGGTTACAAGGCAAATTGGTTTGAAGTAAATACGCTGTTATACGAACTGTTTTATATCAGAAGAAGATTGTGATGTACAGTATTAGCATAGACTGTTTATGTATTAAATTCACATATTTATTTGTAATATATAATAAATTATATTTTTATAATCTTATGTGATTATATATGTATATATCATTAATCCTTCTCATACAGATTTTTGCTTCATTTTTTATCCTTTATTCATCTAATTAATTCCATACTTAACAATTACGATGAAAAACTGATGTAAACATTAAATAATTAAATTTATTTCGAGATATACATATATACAGAGTTGGGAGTTACTTTGTAAAAATAACTAGTTACAGTTTCTTTCTCTCAAAAGTAACTAGTTACAGTTCTAAGTTACCGAGACTAAAAATTAACCCGTTACAATTACAATTACTGAAAAAGCAACTTTTTAAATTGACAATTAAGTTTAAAATGTAAAGTAACTGTAAAAGTAATTGTTAAATTAGTTATTAGTTATTGGAAGAAATATAACTAAGTTAAGTTACACTTATAGATGGAAAAAAGGAACTAAGTTAAGTTATAGTTACTGAAAAAAAGTAACTGTAACTTAGTTACAAGTAACTAGTTACTTCCAACCCTGCATATATATATATATATACACACACACACACTAAAGTGTATATTAAAAAAAGAAATAAAAAGTAGAGCAAACAAAGAGATATGTGGGGCATTGTTTTATTAATTCTAAATAACAATTTACAAGTATTATTATTATAATAACAGCAAATACAAATTGTACAATTTACCTTGCTGATCATTCTGTTTATGTATGGATGGTCTAAAATAATAATTGCTTTGAACACGATTTATATTGATTCTGGTATATCTGTGATCTCAACGCAAATATTTTTTTCGCCTGTCCTCCCTTCTCTCACTCTTTTTTTTTTTATTGTTAAGATTATGCAAAATCTTTACCTTAACAATATGTTAAACGCTGTCTTGGACGAGTTCCGAAAGTCGCTCTTGGTTCTTCTCTTCTTTCTGAAAGTAAACAATCCAAATTTTAGCAAAAATGTCATCAGTACCGAAATACAATGTAATAGCCAAACATTGCTTAATGATAATCTTGATAACGAAATCCTGTCCCTCTGTCGACTGTGTGTTTGTTTAACAAGCGCATGAGGTCCTCATTAGTTACCAATTAAATCTCTCCGATTAGAAATACCAAAAAAATACGCAGATAGTTAACTTCCATTGTCTGTGGGGGGGAGGGGAGATTGGTGACTTTCGTCATTCACGAAATATCTAAATAATTGAATATCAATGCTCTCTTAAATTTAACTTTTTAAATAGATATATCTTTTACAAGTATCAGGTATATACATTTCTCTCTTATAATTACCCCTATATTTCTTTTCCTATTAACTCTGCTAAGAGTAGCATTCTTGTTTAAATATATTCTGATAAAAACGGTAGAGTACTAATGTCAGTCTTGCACGAATATGTATGGTCCTAAATACCGGCGATTTGATGATCCATATCTAAAACTTTATAATATCTCGAAGATCGTTAAAATCTTAGATAGCCAAGGATCTCAAAAGAACAAAAGGCTAATTCTCCTGGCAGAAGGACATGTGTTGATATTATCATTCCGGCATAAATACCTCGTCAATTGAGCGTGGCAGAAGCTAGAGGTTCGTATAGTCACAGTCACACGTTTGCAGGGCGCACTCGCAGTTGTGCACTCGTGCATTTGCAGTCGTGGACGAAGCTCTATGAAGCGGGCACTGAGAGCTGTGTCCCCTCCACACTAAACCACTAAATCTCTCTCTCTCTCTCTCTCTTTCTCTCTTTCTCTCTCTCGTTAATGACGCGCAAACAAGATTGCGGCATTAACGAATCTACGGAGACAACCTTGTGCCCGAGAAGCAAAAAAGGTCAAGTCCAAAATTATCAGCTTTTACCGAGGTTTGTCTTTATATTATCATAATAAGAAGTACGATGACATCTTTTACAAAATACATGGAAAAGCAAGGTAAATTTTCGAAGAGTAAGCCCCAAATTCAATTATCTGAATCTGAAAACAAAACGCGATAAGACTACTTAGAATAAAGAGAAAAACGCTGTATTTTTTTATAGAAACAATTCGTTTTATTTTTAAGTAAACAGTATGAATCTATTATATTGGATGAATTTCAACCTGATTGCATTTATTCACATTCATTCGATTCATCTTGAAAGCGCATATCCACAATTCCATAGACCTTCGCGGGCTTTTCCTGGAAAAAAACGAAATCTTGGACTTGTGCTCTTGTGCTGCTTGGATACAGAGTTAATAACCGATAAAAGCAAGCATAGGTATACCTCCTCCCAGCTTGCTTCATAAATAAATCGCAAATGCTCGGAATGATATTAGAGGTATGTAAAAAAACTAAACTTCTACACGAAAATTGATTAAAAATTTTCCATTTTCACTTAAATTATAAATGTTATAAAAATTACTTCCTAAAAATTCTAACAGTAAATTCCAGAGCAATGCAATTTTATATTGTTAAAGTTTTTTATTATAAAATACTTTAAGTGCTCGAAAAAATTAAATTTAAAAAAATTGAAAGAAAATTAAATCCATAAATGTATTTCCAGTTTTTTTTAAGTCATTACAGTTGTGACTGAAACATAAAAGAAAACTTGACCATAAAAACAAATTTAAATTTAATTTTCTCGATTTTAATTCTACAAAAGCATATCATAGTACCATTACGCCAAAGCATTTTGTCTTTTTATATATAATATATTTACAACACTCTATATAACAATAAGTGTACCTATTACATTCTGTACATTTTATTATTGATAACCCAGCTCTATATACGTGATTGCGTCACTAACAAATTTTGATGTTAAGGAAAAAACGAAAGAACATAATTTGTTTCTCGAATTTTATATTACAGCGCGTTCATTTTTCATGAAAGCATGACTATTCTGGAAGATTAGACAGAGAGAGGCGGAGAGAAACAGAGTGTATTTCAGAGAGAGTGAAATGAACTTGCTGTGTGACTTACGCGGCGCTTCAAACATCACAGATTATATTATCATGTATATGTATTATGTGCATCGGAATGGCAACTCACCTGGATCAATAGAGTACCTGTACAGTAATTGAGACGAATATGGTTATATTGTTTGGTGCATACCTGGCTTACTTCTCACTCACTAACCAATCAAGAGAAGTTACTTGTGACTTCGACTTCGCGAGCGGTGACGGCGACGGTTATGATGGCTGGAACTACGATGATCACGACTCCCTAAAATCATTATCATTGTTATTGCATCATTCTAGAAACACAACGTCTGATATATAGGCTGTAATTGTGATCTAACAATGATGACACGTTAAAAGATTACGTTATCGCTCACCTTTATCTCGACCGTGACGTCGATGACTATCTTCATCTCGATGATGTTTATCTCGCGATCTACTTCTACTTCTATGCCTAGAATTTCTGTAATAAGCAACATCCCCGTTACATTGGCTCATTCGATTCTTGAACATCATATTTCTGCTAGAACGTAAAAATACAACAGAAAAGATCCTTTAGAAATCAAATTGGGAACAATTTTTATCAAATGTATAAAAATTCTAATCAATATTTATCTTGATATTCTAACACTATTTTAGTGAAAAATCTATTCTAAACTATTCGTTTAGAATAGATTTTTTCAAGGAAGGCCATAATATGTAGAAATTTCTACCTATGACCGCCTGAATCATGGCGGCTCTTGTCGTCATCCATTCGCCTGCGACGCTTGTCTCTTTCTCTGTCGCGATCTCTATCTCTATCGCCATCTCTTCGTCGTCGGTCGAGCTCCTCGTTTGCTCGTGCTCTTTGCTTCCGTTCCTCCTCTCTTCTTTGTTCTTTCTCGTCGCGCGCCTTCTCACGCTTGTTCTGTAGATACAATTTTAATTTAGTTTCCAGCTTTGAGGATATATTTAAGATTCTTGTTCAATCAACATTATAATTCTATTCAAATATAACTTGTAAGAATTTTTATTATGTTTTCTTGCTTCTGACGCCACATTCCAAGATAGCAGTGGTTAGTGAACAGGAACCTTAATGTTGAAAAAATATCAAAATATATTGCTACCATAATCTCTTGAAGAGCGCTCTTTAGCCTGGCATAGCCCACGTGTTGTTTTCCCATTAGATGATCATCAATCCGCTGCTGAGCATCACCCACGATAAGAAATGCACCACATACGTCGCATACCTCCATTTGTTTCTCCTGTGCGGCTGCTAGCTCAGCAGTCTACAAATAAACACAGAATTAGTATAAGACTTCAAGTAGCATAATAAATTAAAAAATAATAAAAAATATTACTCAAATAATTAAAAATTAAATTTGTGTAAAGGCTACGAGTAAAAGCTGGGTGTCAAATACTAAAATAAATTGTAGTATTTAAAACATATTTGAGATATATACAATAAACACATACGTTTTAACCTTTATTAGATCATCCTCAGTGTAGCAGATATCTTTAATGATAAAATTCACAACGCAAAATCGGTTAACAATTTAAATTATACTGATTTACAAACTTCCAAACCATTCTTTCGTTTCAGGTAGTTTCCTGAAACTATATACCCCTAAATAAATTATAATACTGCATAATTCAATCACAGTATACGTCGTATTTCGATCATCGCAATCTAGAGATAATTGTTCCATCATATTTTCTAATATTTGCCATTCTCACTTTCCAACGTGGATCGACATTACATCATTACAGTTATAAACAAGGTTGTTAAAAACATGTTTTTTTTTATTTTAAACAAAAAACATTGTTTTTTTTATTTGGAACAATGTTTTCTGATTTATTCTGTGTTTTTTAAGCAACAAAAGAAAACATGTTTTAAACAAGAAAAAAACAGTCTTTTTTGTTTAAAATGTTTTTTTTTTGTTGCTTAAACAAGTAAAAAATATTGTGTGAATATTTGAATCTCGTCATTAAGAATAATGACGAGATGAAAATAACTGAAAGAGAGAGAATTAGTTATTTTTATTTATTACTATTTTTAATTTATTTTACTACTAACATGTTTCTTGTGTGAGCGCTTTTCCAAAGTGTACGCGAATTCATTATTGTTCCTGCGGGTAAATCGGGTTGATAAATCAGGAATATTGCACCTTTCGAATCTAGATATCATCTCATGTCACGTATCGTGTCGCATGTCGCGCTGGCGCTGGTTTGCCATAACTGCTTCGAAACAAAACAAGTACAAGCGTCAAGCAAGGATAAGCGTACGAATATACACGTGTTCTTTGATTAATTCTATTCCAATTATTCCAAAGATCTGCATCCGGACGTTCTGAAATCTATGGTCTGGATTGTTTGGAATCTATCATTTTTACTATTTTATTTTAATTTCGTTTTTTATTTTAATTACCAGTCTGCATGCTGCAATTCAGCACGAAGTGGCAATAATGCAAATGCATAGTGTAGTTATTGGGTGCTTTCCATTTGACACAAGTCGACACAAGTGTTATTCTATTATTGTCACTCTCTGAATGTCAAGAAGGATAGAACGACGCTTCATCTTGTGTTGACGCTGTATCAACTTGTGTCATCAAATGGAAAACACCCATTGTTGTCAGATTAAATTTTCACTATTTTCAGTCCTTGTAGTTTACACTGATTGTTTTCATTGTTTAATATATATATATATTTTTTAACTTTTTTAAGTTTTTGTTTATAGTTATTAATAGAAAAAAAAAACTACTACTAAATGTAGTTTATATTCCGTTAAAAGATTAACGAATTTTATTTTATTAACTATAATATAGTCTACATGTACATATAAATAAATAAAAAAATTTTTTGCAACATACAATTATTTTTTTGTTTATTTTTTACAATTTCTTTTATAAATCACATATTTTAATTGCGGTGTTTTTAAAGTTTTAAACAATGCCTAGTGTTTTAAACAAGCCGTTTTAAACGTTTTGTTTAAAACATAACAACCCTGGTTATAAACTCTCAAGATATCATTAGTACATGCGTTCAACATCTCAGTTAAAATGAAAAAAACTGTTTTTTCATTTTAACTGAGATGTTGAACGCATGTAAATGGTGACAGACGTTAAGACCGTTGCAATCTAATGATATTTTGAGAATTTATAACTGTTGCAATGTCGATCCACGTTGGAAAGTGAGAAATAGATGGCAAATATTGGAAAATATGATGGAACAATTATCTCTAGATTGCGATGATCGAAATATGACGTATACTGTGATTGAATTATGCAGGATTATAATCTATTGAAAATTCTCTACCTGAAACGAATGAAAGAATGGTTTGGAAGTTTGTAGATCAGTATAATTTAAATTAATCGATTTTGCGTTGCAAATTTTATTATTAAAGATATCTGCTACACTGAAGATGATCTAATGAAGGTTGAAACGTATGTGTTTATTGTATATATCTCAAATATGTTTTAAATACTAAAATTTATTTTAGCATTTGACACCCAGCTTTTACTCGTAGGCTTTACACAAATTTAAATAATAAATTATTTACAATTATAATTATTACATATAAAGCTACATAGAAATTAATTATAGATTATAGTTATAACTTGTAAATTCAAACAATTGTTTCACACTCACTTGGTTATAATGACTGTTATCATTGGATTTCCTCAGAGTTTCGCGTTCTTCTTTCAACTGGTCGCAAAGACGCATTAGGCCCTGTGCTTGCTCTACATTACCTTGAATTCCACTTTGCTCGGCTTCTTCAACCAACTTATTAATTTTCTCTGTTAGTAGAGCGATCTGTTCCTCATTCCTCTGAGTTTGGGCTGGAGTTAACGTCGGCTACACACAAGAATTATTAAATTACAACTCTGTGCTTACAATCTGATCTTCTAGTGAAACTTACTGCTTCTGTTCTCCCAATCAGTGCCAATCGCTGCTTTCCCTTTATGATTTTTCTCTCCACTTCGTTTAACATACTCTGACAATACCTGATAAACTCATCCTCGTATTGCTGTTTACGATATGAATGCGGCGCCTTTTCAAACAGTTCCCTGGCCTCGTCGTCGTGTACCTTGGGGCATGCACCTAAGTCTGCTCTTGTGTTAACGAATAAATCATGCGGACAAAATTTCACCAGATACAGCTTACAAAACTGAAACACAAGACCATTCCATAGATTTAATATATTTAAATTAATATAAAATAATTAAGTTAAAAATAAAATTTGAGTAATGAAATTATATCTATCCTTAATACTTAATATTAAAAAAAAATAAACTATAAATACAGTTTATTATAAATGTAGTTTATTACAAAAACAAACTACATATAAATAATTTGAAAAATATTGGTATTCATTTCTTTATTACATTTTTTCTGTCTTTATATTCTACATTTTTTTACTCCAAAAAATATATCTAAATATAGTGAGGGCAAAAAGTCTATTAAGAATTCGTATCAAGGAAATTTTTTTATAAAAAAAGTGTTATTGTAGAAAATAAACATTATCAAATAAACAAATTAATTAGCAATTTCATACAATGAATATATTCTATTCTAACATAAACAAATGAGCTTCGCATGTATTCCTGAATTTAAAAGCTAAATTTCACGACTGTACGAATACTTTTTAAGCATCCAAACAATACAATTTTTAATTTTTGCTTATTTTTCAGATGATATATTTTTCATAATTAATACACATCTTTTGATATATATAATTTTAATAAACATACAGTCTATTTTATTCTTTATGAATAAATTGTTAATTATCCAACAAGAAATGATTGTCAATTAAACGTCGAATCGACGTCAAATTAGTGTTGAAATCATCGTATCAATATCGATTCGACATCAGTTCGATGACTCATTTCTCGTTGAATAATATTTACTTTTTAAAAATAAAGTTTCTTTTAAAAAATATTTTTTCTGTACGAATACTTTTTGCACTCACTGTATCTTAATAGATAACTAATAAATTTCTTAGAAAAAACAGACTATAATTTTTAAAGAAAAATAAGAAATTTATTAGTTCTAATAATAAGTTCTAACAATAAGCTTTTCCATTATTCGTCTGATGATTGTATAATTTAACTCCAAAAAAAAGTAATGAATTTATAAAACTTTTCTCAGATCAATTTGTAAATATTTACTTTTAAATTCAGGCTTTGTAGTCATACGGATTTTGTTTTGACTGTATCTTCTAATTACAGATAAGATGAAACCTTATCAGATATAGGATATTTCCAAGCTTTAGAGGAAAATTTAAAAGACAATGAAATTTAGAAAAAGTTAAAGGAGCAGTTAAACTAAAGCTCTATGTACAATGAAAGAAATATTAGGAACAGAAAAAATATTAAATATTAGAGAAATAAAAAAAAATAGGAATAGCGATTAAATGCTATAATTTATTCATAATTTTTTATTTCTCTAACATTGCTGCTAATATTTTTTCTATTGTGTGCATTCTAATTTTATAAAATTTTATATCATAATAATATTGGAGTATATTAATTCGACCTTCTTTAAATACTCAATCATACAAATTTTCGTGGTTTACATCTTAGAATCTTGAAATTTCTCGCAGATGTCAAATGAAGACAAATGCCATTATCAAGAGAGAGTTAACGAGAGGAAAAATAAAGAATTCTCGAAAATAGGAATTTTGCGGAGCAGCTGACGAAGGCTTCTAGAAAGTGCCTAACATCGACGCAGACTCACCTCGGGATCTTCCCAGTTGAGTTCTTTGGGTTTTTCATTGGGCAAGACATTCCTGTTTCTGCCCATAAGCTCATCGAGCAGCGCGGCAGCCGCGGCGGCGGCCATTTTCTTTTGATCACACTACGGCAATCGCGACTGATTGCGACGTCGATTCGAACACAGGATTCACTCGTTGAGAATCTTGCAATTGTTGAAGACGATTCACCGCGAGACGAAAAGAATCTTTTCTTGGTGGCGACTTGACGAGGCACGGTGATACAAAGATTTCGACAATTCTAACGGGATTCAATCACGAAACACAATATCAAACGCGCTCACGACAATTGCCAAGCGAAACTGTATGTACATGATTGTGCGTTCCGCCACTAGGCGGCAACTAATGCTGGAATGCGTTCCAAAACTCGACTCTATCAACTCATAAGGTTTGTTCGCGTCGCATGCTCCCAAGAAGACTAGAACTAAGGAGGATCAACTCGTGTGGTGGGGGTGAGTCAAAAAACGTCCGCAGTTATTCACACAATGGCTGCATTCAGCGGACTCAACAGTTGAGTGAGCGTTCGCTGCTATTGACGTATTCTTCTAGATCTAAAATTATGATTGGATGATCTAAAAGAATACACCAATAACAGCGAG